GCAAGTTCCCATTTCTCCTAGCTGACATCGCTCATATGTGTGAAACTAGCCTTTTTGCAGTGTATCGAGCGCTGCCTCACTCCCCCATCTGCTCTCATCGTGAAATGAGAACGATAGTCTTGCTGGTTTTTATCTATAGCGTATATTCCCTACCTCAGATTCGGCGCTTGTAAAGCGGGTAGTCCCAAAGACGTTGTACTCTGAACACTTTCAAATTTTGAAGAGTTGGCTCGTTCAGTATCCTGTTGAGGTGATTTCTTTCTTTTTCTCTCGACTTCGGCTGACATTCTCTTACTGACACTATCCCGCTCTTCACAGTCATCGCAACCCTTATATCTTAGGTTGCCCGATAGTGGGCAGTCTCCAGTCTCTCGTGCAGAATTATATAGGCTCTGGGACTTCGTTCTTTCCTTCGCCTGAAATTTCCTTTCCTCTTACTGACAAAGTTGACGACAAAATGATTTCCGAAATGTCCCGTTAGGATGAATATGTGTCCTCCACACTCATTGTTTCAAAAACTTTGAAGTGGCTGCACCTCTCACAATGCAGCACACTGGCTAAAAATTCAAACAACTAGCTGTAACCCATGGCAAAGGTGGGAGGCAGTTTTGGCATTTTTGACAGATTGTAGCAAGCTCTATGTGATAGCATACAACTGACAGCTGGCCCGTATACCCCTTCCATGCCACCTCTAACTACATAATCTCGTACAATCCCTTGTTTTAAGTAGTTTCATAAGAACTAATATTTTCTAAGTTCAGCCAATTTTCGCTTTTTCCTCGTCTCTTCTGCACTATTCCACACCATAACTTCCATTATTTCAGCTATCGTGAACAGTACCTTTGAGGTTCCGTTCGTCGTTCTACCTGAAAGCATTCAATAAAGATCGATGAGAATATAAAATAATACCTGATCAGCGGAGCTTGATGGTTACTCCGACCTTCAGTTCTATTTCGTTCCACTGCTACAGACTAATTTCTGGGTCCCTTCTTATCCCAACATTCACAGAGTTCACAGCATGCTAGTTTGTGAACTCTGCGAATGTTTATCCTACTCACCGTGATCCTGGGGCCATCCTCATTGTAGTTCACATGACTTTTTTTCCAGCACGTTTAGATAATGGAAGAATTTGATCCTACTCTTTTAATCAGTCAGTGACCTCGAATCTACACCAGATACTACTGAGATACTTTGCTCCTGAAGGTGAGAAAGTGCTCCTAATCTTCGATCCGCAGTGCCTACAAGAAGCTTACATTTCGCATAATGACCGCTAATGCAAGCGGTCATACATCCAAGTAAGAAAGAGGCATCAGCCACCAGCTGAAGCTTCGCACGCCTCGTTATCCGGCACTAAGCAACGAGCACAAATAATCAATCGAAAATTTCATCTAAAGAATTCAAAGTAGTACTTATCGGACCAAAATATTTTATAAAAACNTCTTTCACGCCAGACATATCGCAATGTCCCTTATGACTTCGCCACTAATTTGAGATGAAAAAAAAAATCAACAAAAAAAAGANTTTGCTCCTGAAGGTGAGAAAGTGCTCCTAATCTTCGATCCGCAGTGCCTACAAGAAGCTTACATTTCGCATAATGACCGCTAATGCAAGCGGTCATACATCCAAGTAAGAAAGAGGCATCAGCCACCAGCTGAAGCTTCGCACGCCTCGTTATCCGGCACTAAGCAACGAGCACAAATAATCAATCGAAAATTTCATCTAAAGAATTCAAAGTAGTACTTATCGGACCAAAATATTTTATAAAAACATCTGCTTTTTGTCGAATCCAACATTTCCAAAAAAAGAAAAATTCTGATAAATACCAACAGTTCTATCACTTTATAACTGCAAAGATCATGGATATCGTACATATCAAGTAGAAATTTGTACAAGATGAGTATTGAATCGAGTGATTTGAACGTTTTTAGAACAAAATATAATGTATGTATTAGAAAATCAACTCAGACATATTATCGATCGAACATGGCTTTCGAATGTATGATATGATGCATCGACACCTACAGTGACGACAATTCGTCGACGCTCATTTCACAGAACCAAACAAAAAATGCCTTTGGGATGTTCTTCTAAACCAGTACATGTTATCTCTTCTACTAGTTATTTACTACAGACAAATATGAAGTAAGATGCTATGCGTATGGCAAATAGCGAGTGTGAGTAGAATGAACAGCATTACCAATAGGAAGGAACCGGTACCAAACCCCATTTCCGTTTGAGGCTAATTAGAAAAGCGAATCGTTGAACATACGAGACACGAAATCACTTTCAATTTGACCCTGAATTCAATAACGAAAAACCAGCCGTTGGGATCCGGGGGGAGAAAGGGCATGGGGAAAACAGCGTAGTGCCATCGGAAAAACAAAATGAAGGTAAATATAAGAGGATAGACAAATACAATTGAATTGCTCAAGAGCAAACAAATTATCTTAGGCTACTTCTATAGTCGCTAACGGAAGGCCTGCTACAGGCTGATCCGCTGGCAGCGCGGCAGCGAGAAGTTCAGGCAGGATCGCGCACCTAAAAAAGAGATAGGGTTCACGTGGGGGACATGGAATAACAGCAGAGATGGCAGCGCCATGTGATTGGGAGGTAGTATCGGCGACGACGCAGAGCTGGTAGTGCAATGCTCGGCAGTCAGCTCGCCGAGGATAGAAGCTACCCCAGGGAAGTGAAACAATAGTAACGCATTTGAAATAAGGAGTAGATGGACGAAAAGACGACCAAAAACAACCAATAAACAACAAAGAAATATGGCATTCTATTCACAGATGAATTAGGGTCTAACAGACACAAAGGAAAAGACATGAATGAATGGTACAAGACATACAAAATATATATTTCGATTACATTGGAGACGAGGAGAGAAAACAAACGGCAGTTTTTAGTTGTCAAAATATAAAATATATCTATGCATTAATCTACACTCTTCTAAACAAATCATTTCACCGAATAGAAATCTACGAATGAAAATTAGTGCAAATATTCTCAGCTATATTTCCAGTTATAACACTGCCTCCGCAACACAATGCATGCGCATTTGAGAAATGGGTATTGATTTCGCCCGCGCAAAATCAATAAGCAAATCCGAGAATGCGACTTAACGAGGCAGGCTCAAGGGCGGAAAAGCCTCACCGGCTAGAATCATCAGGCAGGGCGCGATACTCCCGAACCATACTGTTGGTATTGCATTCTTTGTTGATCGCCCTGCGACCAAGTAGCATCACCTTGCCAATAAAAGTTTGAGCCGTAAACACCGACATCTATAAATATATAAAGAACACGTAGATAAAGCACTGAACGAAAATAAAATACGGTACTACTCAGAAAAAGAAAGGTACTTAAACAGTTCCATGATGAGAACAAACTCACTCAAGGACAGAGGCTTCAAATCTCGATCTTCATACATTAAACCAAGAGCTGATCGCTTCAGTGGAGGTGAGACTTTGGAGCGATACGATGTGGGTGGACACGCACCGCTAACCATTGGACTATTTCCCGAATAGTGCTGCATATAGGGATCAACAGGAGAACATCCCTAGGAAAAGATATTTCACATATTGATTTTTTAGAGCAGAATCCTATCCTGAAAAAGACAAGAGGAAACTATAAACATGCTAATGCCTGACCCCATTACCTCTGCACAAGATGAGAAAAACGTGAAGAAGTTCCGAGCACAACTGAGAACTTCCCCACGCCGAGAACTTTTCAAAAAATGATATAGATTGGAACCCAATACCATTTTGTGACTATGTGCTCATAACAAATGGACCTAGAGCGTAATAATTTGGAAGTCATCAGGCTACAGAATGGAAACACTGAGATCAGGGTTGTTTATGGGCGTTGAAATCAAATTCCGCTTTACAGCTTCTTTTTTTCATGTCAGCGATAGTGTGTTGCCACTTCACATGGGATTTGGGGGAGACCGTGTAGCAGATGGCACAAAAGGACAGTAGATGACACAAGTCGATATGCTGCCTAGTAAAGCACGATCCACCCAGTTCTGACCACTTCCACATTCCTCCTAGCTTCGACAAATTCAATTAATCAATTTGACAATGAGCCTACTATAAGTTGGACGAAGCTTCTTCATCTCCACTGATCACTCATCTGATTACCAATATTTTGGGAATCTCGGTCAATGAATTATGGATGGAGCTAAGAATAGTCACGTCTGATTACGATACTGATGCCTATAGGGAGACAGACAATTAAATCGGTTTTGTGTAATCGATTTGCCGCACGCGGCTGTCGCGGACTAGTTGCCTCGTTATTGCAGTTATAGCTTTTTTCATACAGCTCGATCGATGTGCGGTCATTACTTTTGCCATGATTCTTGCTCAGTCGTAAAAGAGCACCTGCGCCAATAGACCTAATCCCAAGCAATGTAACGAAATTCCAAAAATTTTGTAAACAAAAAGCTATCTGCTTCGAAACGAGGCATAGCGGGTCAACCGGGCGTTCTGAGTTTGTCGCAGGAATAATGGGAGCCCTGGCGCTACGATTGGTCAAGTATAAGCAACTGGAGCAAAGAAATTCTTCAACAGTCGGCATGCCAAGAATGAGTAAAACTCACAAGGACAGCTCGGCCAGCAGATGGGCGTGACTGTGAAATCACTTGCTCGAACATGCTATTGAAATCCTCATTGGAAAGATCGAGAGCACTCAAATCGTCGACACCGAACTCTTTACCATCAAAGCCAGTTCCAATGTCATCTGTAACTCTACTGCATAAGGAAATTGCAAAAAGCGGTATCAATCCGAAGCACCGAGAGTACAAAAAACCAAATTAAAAGACTAAATGAATCTTAAAGCCTTACCGCATGAGATTGATGAGAAAAACTCACCACAAGTACCATGCCGAGAGACATACGGAGCACGTATTGCGATGCTATCGAGATTAGGCTCTTCAAAGGGGATATCTTCTGAAATTGAGTGGCTTTCTCAAGGGAGGGATACAAGCAGTTTCACAACTATTCCAACAAATTTCAGGATTATACAAAATTCGTCCACACCAAGCTGTTCTCCACACTTTCCCATTAATAATAATGCTACGGTTCGGTTGATCCGCACAATAGATAACACACTCAGCAAATGAGGAATAGTCCCAAGTTCTTTTTATCGAGCAAAATAGGCTCACACATAACCGAGGAAAAACATGAATGTCGATTTTGAAAACCCGTGTGTCAACTTAAAGTTTTCTCTCCACGTAGTAACTTAGAGCGAATAAATTACGTCAATCAACTTAAGCAAAGCTGCCTTATCGACAATTCTTAGCTTTTCTATATGAAATAGTAGCACTGACTGCTATGCGCAGCGTGGACGACACTACCCATTTAGTCCATCATTTACTCGTTTGCACCTCGACTTGCCAGTTTAGATCTCATAAGACTTTGTATAAACCCTGCGACCAAGATGATAAAGAAACTCTTAGTAGACTTACGTTTCGGCTTTATCGCCTTCTTCAGAGTCTGGAAACTCGTGAATTTACTTACTGAAGTCTTATGAGATTTATTCAAAGCTATGCCAAGATTCATTGAGGGTAGAACTTGGGTACTTATAAACATTTTGGCTTACCATAAGTAGGTGTACATTGCGTAGGGGCTTGTGGATATACAGTCATTGTCGGCAGGCTCCCAGTGGAGGAGCGAGCAATGGCAGCAGACAGAGAGGAGAGCAAACTTGAGGCGTCATCACATCCTTCGTCTGAGAGGAGACCGGACGACAATGAGACAGTATCTGAAACATATACGATATTATGAAAACTTACAAAAAAGGATGCTTTCTCAATCTCTCGTTCGATTCTATGATGGGTAACTACTTCTTAAAAAAAAACGTCAGTTGCCTGCTCACAAAATAACATTATGAAAACTTGTTCCTGCCGATGGTTTTCCAGAGGAAATCTCAACAATCAAAAAGATTCGACTCTGACAGCAAAGAGGCAACTTCCCATCATAAAAAATGGGCTTTTACAACTACTGGACCACTGAGGGATAGAAACTAACTTGGTGCACAAACGGCGGAAAGGCTTCGTGGGCGAGTGGAGGACTGGCTACCGTCCAAATGTCTATCAAGTCCTCCGCAGACGTTTGAGCGAGCTGTCGAGGTTGGGCTGTATAAGCCGCACTGTGAAACGCCATCGGCCAATGGTGAGCACGATGATCCTGCAATGACCACAATAAAATGAAATCCTGTCCACTGCAACATTACTCAAAGGCTATTGACAGTTAGGTTTTCGTGCTGAGTAGGGGAGAATTCTACAGTTAGTCGGTAAGCACAAACATTTTGAGCGAACCCTAACACGAGTGCAGCGGTTCTTGTAGTCATGAAGATTTTACTTCAATTTTACGAAGACTTTTTAAGATTTAATAGCAACCTCCACTTGTTCCTCGGACGAGTCCGGCTCCGCCTGAAGCGCCGTCGTCGGTGGGGCTACGAGACGGTGTAGCCATGAGACGCGCCGTGGCCATAGAGGTGTCGCTAGTGGGAGAGTTTCCTTCAAGCTGAAATGAAGCTTACTTTACAGTATAAAAAATTCTCTATTTCGGCAGCAGTCTGGCACTTAATAATTTATCAATCAGAAAATAGTTTGTGGCGAAAGCCTATAAATCACATCAAAATATAACATTGCTTCAAAACATTTTGATGCAGCCCTTTCCTATCGTTGTTCTGATTCTTTCACGCCAGACATATCGCAATGTCCCTTATGACTTCGCCACTAATNAAATCAACAAAAAAAAGAGAAGAGTTAGCGTTACCATAGAAACCTCTTAGTCGTCTGACAGGATTGCTTCTTCAAAACTAATCGTTTTTTATTTGTTGTAACGAGAAGTCCACGGAACGACTCTCGTCAGGTCAAACGTATTGTATAAAAAAACGTAAACCCCGCTTACAAGTTCACAAAGAAAAGAAATAAAAAATAGTCTAACAAAATGAACTGTTCCTTAAAAGAAAAATATTTTCATAAAGGAACTGTTCATACCTGCCCGAAGTTCTGAGTCGCGCATTCTGACTGGCCGCGAAAAAATGCGTCCGAATACGCACCGCTGCTCCCCTCACTTGCTCCTAAAAAAAGGATTGATTACAAAACTCATATTATGGAAGTTTACAAACTGCAAAGCTCAGGAATGAGATTCGAACTCGACAAAGACGAACGTTTATGTAAGGTCAACAGAAATTTTAGTCAAATTCTGATAACGTCAGTTTTAAGTGAACGATCCTGGACGAGATCAGTGTCTATCAGATTGAGTAAACGACAACGACGAGACGACTACATCCAAGGGAAAGTTTGCACATCGACAGTCCGCGGTCTCCACTGGCTCTACTTTTTCATTATTAAAGCAATAAATCAATAAATAAGGGAGCCTTCTAAGACGATCCAGAGTCCGCGAACCGAACCGTAATCAAGAAGAAAGGAGGACACCTCATCAGCATCGGTGTCCTCCGATTCGGAGCACGACCGTTCCATTGGATCTGCACGACGTCTTTTTGGAGTACGCGATTTTTTGTGGATGTGGCTGCTAGAAAGCCGTTTCACTCTCATTGCATTGTCCCGCAAGCGACAAGAGCACTCATGTTCATCTTCAGCATCATCGTTGTCGCTCAAACTACTGCCAGAGACTGGAAACCGTCTCGTCATGGATCGCTCACATGATTGACACGAAAACAAGCTCAAAAATCTCTTCAAAAGTTTGACCGTCCACACAAACTCGTACGATCAAAAACTCAGTCAAGGAAGGAAAATGATTACAAAAACATGAAAATAGAAGCAGTGTAAAAGTGGCTGAATAAGATCTCAAGATATCATAGGTTACAGCTTAGAATATTCCGCCCATATTCGGGTGCTTTACTCTTTATTTCTAGGATATTCTCACTAGAGCAACATGACCGGAAAAACATTGAAATACAAGAGCTCAAAATAGAAGAAAAAGAAATGGTTAGAAAACACACCATCAACGGAGTTGTTCTTTGCTGCATCCAGGTCACCAAAGGACAATAGCCGAGACATTACACTGAAATCCTCCCGGCCCGTGAACGGTTGCATCTGGAAGTCCAACGCACCGCTACCATCAATGTGTGGCTGACGGCCAGCATAGTCTGAAACATGTTCACTGTTCATCCAATAACGATTTACAAAACTCTATTGAAGTACAACTTGAAGTGTCTTATGCCATGTCGTTTATTTAGGAAAAAAGAACTCAACTACTTATAACAATCTGATGTATTTCACATCAATTTAGGAGCCAAAATACCATGGTCAGGTTTTAAGGTCCCGTGAAGCGCGAACGTGCAATACAGTAACTCTCATCCCTCCCCCCCTCCCCCCCAAGCCCAACCAGCTCTCATTTTTTCAGATATTTCCTTCTTAACTCTCACCACACACTTGCATGATACTAGTTCGCACACCACAACCTCAGGTGGAGGATCAAGACAAGTTTTCAACTATTTTATAATAGTTGGACCGCCTTGCTCTATCATACAAACAACATTTTAAATTTCGGAAAACATAATAAACTACAACTATAAAGCGAGAAAAATTCTAGCAGCAACATAAAGAGGATAAGCTACTCGAACTTCCTATACCAATATCAACATCGTCAAAAACAATCGGGCACGTACCTCTTGCGTCATCTATCTCTTTCTTAATTTCAATTGCAAGTCCTGCTGGAACACCACCTTGACCTGCCGAGGATGCATCTTCCAAGATACCCTTGATCCTGAAAACGAAAATATAAAAGGAAATGTAACTAAATAACTGTAACTAAAAGTAAGTTTAAATTACTAAGGAAACAGGGGAAATTTTCAGACGAATTTTAAAAAGCAGTGCAAATCAAGTGATTCCGATCCTTAAAAAAGGAAACATAGTAAAAATTAGTTCAAGAGCATGGAGGCGAGCAGATTTTCGATAAATTAACAGTAAAAGCATTTGAATAAGTCTAAAAATAAGAAAAGCTAGTAACCCTGCAATATGATGAACGCAGATCACGTATTGGGCTTTTTGACCTTTGGATGTGTGATTTACTGTGGATGCCTCTGTGGTTAACCAAACTACAGTATTGTTGGCAGCCAGAAGACGATACAATGGAGTGCGTACGTGACCCTTCGCGAACAAAGTTTTCATTGACTGTAAAGAAAACCTTTGGGTCAAGAGAAACGCCATTCTCAGAAGTATGAACGAACCTCACGAAATGACGGCAGATCACTCGGCTCTATTAACTCAAAGAAACTCGATCCCATCAATGTTTTCAGCTCGTTTCTGAGTATGTAGTTAAGGCGATCGTGAACATAGGATATCCTCATATCCGAGGTGTGTCGAGTCATAAAGGAACCTGTTGGAGTATCCGCATACTAAAAAAACAGCGCTCTTCTGCTATTACAATCAGAATGAGTGGAAGAAACTGAACATTTGTTTACTTTAGTGAGAGCTGTAGCATGAGCGTTCACTGAGCCTTGGCCGGCCGGTTCAGAAGTTGCCAACATCCTCATAACATGACCACCCAGTGATCGTTCAGCACGAAGAATAAACGAGATTGGCTGAAAACTAATAGGTTAGCATGTAATGAAAGTATTACGGCGAAATCCCGAGATACTTTAGCCCTAAGGAATATGTACGACAGAATTCACCCAGAATTCCTTTTAGAAGAACGTCCATATCAAGCCAATCAACTTTGAAAGAAAATTCAAAAAATCACTTGGTGCCGACTATATACTCGAACTACAAAATTCGAAGTGTATCTTGTCAAGATCAAGATCTACTTATTGTCAAGATCGTACTATTATGGCAACGCAACAGTCTCGAGATGGCCGTTTTGAGGAAGAAAGCAAGCAGGATACTTATGACGCTCATTATTACTGCACCCATATTTGTTGAGTTCCTTCTGCCCACTTAAAAGACTTTCCTGAAAAATATTCCCCTAATAGGATTGGGGCAATTCACAAGCACCACTCTCCGCGCAGGAGCTCGATGTTGTCCCATCGAGAAAATGCATAGTAAACTTGGTTCTGAACCACAAAAAAAGAATCCCGTGGCTGAAGCGGTTCAGCACCTTACCCACCGTAACCGGATAAAAGGACCTGTCTACTAAGTGCCCTCTCAGAAGTATTAGTCTTGGCAGTTGCAGGTCAGTCATTACACCTCGTGAATTGATATCAATTTCTTGGAGATCAGCTTTGGATTCTCAGACTCCATGAACTTTACGAACTCCAAGCTATCACTGTAAATTAAGCGCAACTAAGTTAAATCATACCTTGAACAAGGCGCTTTTCAGATTGAGATTCCTTCCACGTTGGGTAATCACCGTCTTCATCCGCAACTCAGCGAATAGACCATTTTCAGGTGATTTAGAAACTTCTGGACGTTCGATCAACACTGATCCCAAATTGTTCGTGATTTCAACATACTCAGTGTAATCCGTCGGATGCAGGAACTCTTTGAGAGCTCTACCGACAAGATCTGTCTAAAAAGGAGGAATTGAATACAGTGAAGAAGCATTAAGAAAAATGATAACCGAGGTCTAATATTCAGGCCATAATTCCTTTCTTCGGCATAGTATTCAGAAGATATGGAAAAAGTTCTCTGGCAAAACGTTTCGAGACAAATGCGTCTGAGAAAATGAGCAACTTAGCATTATATTGGGAGTAGAAAATCCAACACAGCCTCTTCCGGTTCCCTATCAATCTGTTGTATGACATGAGTACATGAAAATAGTTCTTACTGTTACTACTAACTATATTTCCGCTTCCAATGCTTACCAGTTCGCTGTGAAGGACAAGAGCCCTATTTCATTTTATTGCTACCCCAGAATCCGACAAAAAACAATACAATCAACCTTAGAGCAGCAAATTCACTCGTGAGCAAACCACACCCTGGAGCAGAAAATTCACAGCTGGGGTGACCGTGCAGGATCGAAACGTCGCAGGTGCGCCTTCTATATCAAGTGGCGGGTGGCACAGTTAAAAGGATCAGTTAAATCGGATTATGTCGGTCGATGACTGTACTAGGTACTTCCAATTATTCATTGTTATTGGAAACGTCTCAGGGTAATTAAAAATGAAAAGTGAAGAATGGCTCTACAAAACGGCTGGCAAATTGGCCAACAAGTCTCAGTTTATGAGCTATTTTGATGCTATCTGTAGACCAAGTTGCAATTTCTGGGATCCACTCCTCGAACTTTATGCTTCCTTACACAAGCGTCCAGCTCAAAACGATAACCTCTCTCCGCTTTGACCTCTCAAAACCGATCGAAAGCAGATCTACACTGCAGATAATGATCCAACAGTAGCAACCAACACTCAAGAACTAATTAGATGGTCCATCTACAAAAAATGGAACCTTTTTGACTTGATGATTTGTTAACTGCTGTTATTTCGCCGCAGTAGCTACATCCTTTTCGGATACAGCACACAGAGGAAATAGATGCGTGGATAACGGGTTTCGTTCTGCTCTAATGAGTCAGTAAGTTTCTTGTCAACTCTTTAATCAAAGGCACAAAAGTACAACTCAAAACAGTAGGCATCGACAGCTTTTTATAAATCCATTTGAACAATGGGCCTAATATTTATCAAAAAACATTCGGAGCTAGACTTTTTGCAACTCGAATCACATTTGAGGAATGAAAAATGTGAAATAGAAAAAGGAAGGTAAAGTAATGAGAACCAGAGAAAACAAAGAAACAAACCTGACTGAGCCCAAGGTACAAGCAGACACTTTCTGTCACACAGAGGATTGTACCATCGCTGTCCGCAATGATTATAAAGCCGTCTAGTGTTTCGGTTACTGTGTCTTCACACCACAGTTCCTTACCGATTTGCGTAACTTCTGGTCCAACTTCTGTTGGTTTCAGTACTGAAACGAAATTGAAAGAAGCCATAATAAGGTCACAACCTTGTAGCTTACCATTAGGGGCCGTTTTTCGTATCCGGCACCAAGCAGAACTGACTCGCAAGACGGCTATTCGATCCAAATGTGTAACAGTACCTTCATCGACTATAGGGACCACCTTAACCACAATAAAATCACCAAAATTTCTTCAAAGAAACCTCAAAACAGTAAGTACAAAAACTTACCGCTCGAAGATCACTAAATATTTCAGATTCCTTGCCTCGCCGATCTCTAGCTGCAAATCTAGACGTTTCACGTCGTTTTTCCATATTTCTGCAATTATAGACAGTGAAAACTATGAGATTGTATTTACATCTTACAGTATTTACAGTATTAAGAAGAGTCTCCATCGAAACACACACACAACTGGACAACTGAAGGTGTTCAATGAAACATTCTTTATATTTCTTTTTTTAGGAGAATTATGACTTCTCCTTTTTCATCTACCATCTTCTCTTAGAAGCCCATCAAAAAGTCTAAATGTTTGAATGTTCTAGCAACAGCTTACTCTATATTGCTGTTTTTTACGTGAATTATTGCGAATTTTAATTTTTTGACACTTCGCGGTCAAAACAAGCTCACCAATCTGATAAAAAACGAATTAATGCTGGAAGCTAGTATAAAATCACAAGAAGGAAAAGAACAAGAAATGAAATGCAAGTTTCGAAGTAGGGCATGGCGCCTGAGGGATGTCAGGAAAAAAATTCGTTGTTTTCTTTGTACTAATTGAAAAAATGGGATAAAGATTTGAATATAGAAGCAGCGGAAATTACAACAAATCAATTAATGAAAACTTCCAGGAAGCACAAAGCGTGAATAGTACTATGAATCGAAATCAGATATTTTGCAGTAGGATTGCTGGGCCTAATCTCGAAGAGGGACTTACTTTCAGTTCCATAACTCAACTGTGCACGCTGCACAAGTTTACAAATTTGATATAATCAAACAATAGAATGAAAAGGAAACTCGACTTTTGGGGTATATGATGGGGACGTCCGCTTAATTGTGCATCATCAGCTTCAGAATTTGAAGGGACAAGACGTAAAAAGATAATCTGCTTGGATGATCTACATTTTCATTATCACGAAGTTAAGCTTTCTGCTAAAATCAGATGCTCTAGTCTGCACTCGTTTAATTTCATAGCGATTGGTTGTCGATCTCGAAGTGATTGGCACTGCTAACTGAATTACGATGCCCATCACGGGCTGTGAGAACTCTCCCATCCCTTATTCTTCAAGGAAAAGCATGATAGGAAATAGTGTCATCGGAAAACCAATAGAAAAACTACTAGGCAAGCATTCCCGCGTAAATCGATCCCTATTCGTTGTGATCCCGCATTCGACTTTCATTCAGAATCGTAGGGACACTTCGAATGCAAACCTGGTCTGTACCATGAGTTGCGGTAGTTAGACAATGTTCGAATCAAGGCTGTCGCCTCGCAAACCAGTCTGACAGAGTCCGAAAAGCTTGGTTGGCTTGGGCGAGAACCAATCCGGGCTTGATCTCCGGAACTTGCCTGTGTCATTGTGCTCCGCTTGCTACAACACCACCCATAAGAGGGAATTATATGTATACAAAGACCAAACTCCGTAGGCGCATTACAATTCCTGAGTACGCGGTAAAACTTTTGCTTCTGTTTTACTATATTATGTCAAAGGGCGGCGCCAAACACTGTCTAATTTGGGAAATTCCAGGCGCCTGACTGACAAAAATTGGTTCAGGTTTTACTTCAGTGGAACGGTGTCTTTTGGAGCAAAGGATGGTTAGCCACAACACAAGAAATGATAGGACAAAGTTAGAAAAGGTTCATTGCGTGGGAACGCGATCAAAAATGCATAATACAAACCACGTGATACTGTTTTTATGGCTTGAGCCAAAAAGCAGTTTGACGTCAAGCTGGTTAGCAATATGTCTCAACAGCGCATGTTCAAGGTATAGTCAGCCTGAGGTGAACAAAAAGGCTCTCATTCATCATCCGTTGCCGGAGCAACGCTCCTCATCAGAGAATGTTTTACTCACCCCCATTAGAATTTAGATTACCTCATCCCGTAGACAAGTCATCAAGTCAGCGTTCAACGTAAAAATTAAGGATGACATCATAAGCTCTTGTGAACCTCCGAGGGGTGGGAGCGTAGGACAGTAAGGATGCAACCATGCTTATATAGGAAGTAGGCCAGAATTTGAAATTCTGACCGTGAAGTGAAACAGCGTCTCTATGTTTTATGCTGACTTGTTCAGCCTTCGATATGGATAAAATGTTCTGCAATGTGCAACTTTTCCAAGCCAATCAACCACAAAAGTTCACAAAAAGTGGGAGTCTTCCTGCAATTATTTAGCAGGCACCGTTTAAACGTAGGGGAAGAGAAAAATTTGTAAGATCCTATGATAAATATACTCGGTTTGAACAACAATTTGTCCAATAGTAACCGATATGGATTATCCTGGACATAATTTTGAAAAGAAAGCTGTTTTTAGGGGCGTTTCTTTGTGTTTATCGGTGTGTATGTCGGCGTGTGTGTTGAGATACGATCAGGCGACAGGATGCGAACCCTGATGGAAAGTGGAAATGATTACAACTGGTAGGGACCGATCGCCATGGAAGGCCAAAGCCAGGGGATCCGTTACGCTGTTGTGTTAGCAATGCAACTTTGATATACTTTGGTAGGTGATGTGGGGGTGGGAAGTGACCGTAGATGGTTGGTGACAATGAGTAATAGAGAGTGATAACAACTGATAAGGAGCCAGGGAATGTAAGAATCATTGCGACGCTATGCCCTCTCGTGAACAGTGGAATCGAAACACTTTGATGGGTGATGGGAGGCGTAAAAGACGACTAGACGATTCGTGACAAGGACTGATAACAACCGATAGTGTCTGACGATTGCATCAATTACTACTACAATACGTGATACAGGGTGACTCTAACCCAGGCAACGAATTTCCGATACTGATAACAGCTGAAAAGACTGATAAGGTGAACTGATAGCAACTAAAAATGCCGGTGGAGCCTCAACTTTCTTATATGCCTCATAGATTTAGTTGAGTAGTTTGATAAGAAATGAGTGATAAGCGCATTGATAAGATACGAGGAAAGTCAGTACTTTAAAGGGAGAACGATGCTTTGCTGCTTTGCTTATTGCTTTCTTACTTGCTATTAGATTACGACGACAATGCCTCAAGATTTGCGATCAATAAGAACCTTAGGGCCCGCTTACTGGGGAACTCGTGTTCACAAATTTTGAGGGGCAAAAGTGGATCATTTGTTCCGAAAAGAGTCAGCCGTGCATTTAGGCTTTAAAACCGGAAGGAGCATGGCCTGGCGTAGTCTGGGCGACTCTGAGTGGTGTAGATAAGAAGGGCAGAGGGAATTTCTCCTTCTTACTCTTCTCTTACCAGTCAAGAAGGCCCAACGACATCGATCAAATTACAGGTGAAACTAGTGATTGTTTGGACATTACGTTCCTCTCCAAGTATGCAGAAGGAAACGTCCTACGCTTCACTTTGGCCCTCCCGTAGTAAATAAAACGTCCCGTCAAAAAAGAAACATGTGAGAGTTTCTTTGTTCAATAGACAGCCTCTATAGATGGGTATATGGGTATAGAAGTTCAAGCAGAATCAAGGGCAAAGCTTGACCGCAATGTTGCATTGAATACTGCAGGAATAAAAATAAATGTTGCTCGCCCTCATTAAAAAAAATAGTAAACATGGCTGCCATATAAACAAGCGACGGACTTAATACTTCGTGTTACGCTTTTCAGTTGATACTCCCCACTGTGCGCCACGCTATCTCTCTTGTATTTTTGGAAATAATACAACAATAGCTCATAGCTGAGAGCCCCCTACCCTGTAGAAACCCACGGAGGTGAAGGAGCTAGTGCGCTGGTTTGTACTTTTACTAATATGATTCAACTTTACGCTTCAATATAAATCGTGACGAAGGCCATGAATCAATCCTGCTTCCTTGCTCACTTCTCCCAACTTGATTACGGCTTATTCGAATACTGCGTGAGAAAAAATGCGTGCCGGCAACGAGAGAGAAGTAGTCACCTGCGCCTTTTCATTGATTCGCGGCGAGCAAAGATTGAGAAAGCACTTTCGCTTAGATCCCTAAATTTAAATTGCAAATGAGCATAAAGCGCTTCTGAAAATTTAATCAAAATAGATAACTGAGGTGCTAAAGTACAAATTGCTCAAAGCCATGTAGCAGCCTGAAAATGCAGCACTCATGAAAGCGTTTACTGAGGGGCGAAAGGTCATAAAGGAGCGTCTCCGAGTGGAGGGTCCGCTGACAGCGATTAGACCCGATGATCTATGGAGATAAACATCGCGAAACAGAGTAAGAAGGGACTACCTTGGTCATACACATCCAAACAGTATTTTTCAGAAATTGCTGTCTGAACCTGCCATTCTTCATAATCAAAAATACGCTACTACAAACTGTTCAGTTCCAGATTGCAAACTCTATAGAAACCATGACTTATTCAAGATAAGACGGTATGGAACGGTTCCAAACCGCCTGTGATTGCTAGGTATTATAAGTAAAACAAGAGCCATACTAGCTCTCATATTCTTGAACCATCTTTTTTTTATCAAAACCGTGTTCAAAGATTCTTTAGTTCTCTCATAACCTCCCTTCCCTTTCTCCCTCTCTCATGCCTTTGAGCTCCCAAGCGTAACATTTCTTTCTCTTGAGGCTAGATCTAGAGTAGTTGAGCATTCAGTCTACATCTTCGCATACTCATTACGTAGATAAAGAGAACGGCACTATTCGCGTCACACTTTAAAACACACTTTTTAAAAATATGAAAATTGCTGGTTTCGAAGGAAGCTGTTTTATAGCAGTCGAATGTTAACCAGGATAAAGAATTAATATTCAAAAACCTTAAATTTTTCTTTTTGCATGTTTTAGGGTACGCATGAAATTAGATTGGTTTTCTGAACCTCTTGGGTTAACCAGAACGGAGATGGGGACGTACTTAAGCGAGAAAGTCTGGTTCCAGCCGCATCGACCCTGTGGCTTCTAAGGACAGCACGAAACATTGTTACAAAGAAAAATGAGCTCGACAGGGATTAAAGGGCTCCAAAACAGGTCTGGCCGACGTACACACCCAAAAGTGGCCGTGATACGATGGCCTTGTTAAGGCTGCACCATTCACGATGAAGCTTTAGGACTCCGACGACTAGATGCTTATGTGGGAGGCACTCAGACGCTTACAGAAACATAAACTCGTACAATCTTGAGCCATATATTCCTTGGAACCCTCCGATT